TTTCTTTCTTTCTTTCTTTCTTTCTTTCTTTCTTTCTTTCTTTCTTTCTTTCTTTCTTTCTTTCTCAGTTTCCTCATCTGAAATGGATTGCTAAGAGAATTAAATGATATTTAGCAATACCTGGAAAATGTTCACAATGACTACATCCAAGCCCACCGGGCTACATATGGAGACAAGTCAACTAACCACATATAAAAATCGCCATTGGAGAAGGGGAAGAATCAGAACCCACGTGACGAAGCTGAAAATGCTGGGGAAGTGGATACCAGTCCCACATGCTCAGAGAAAGTTGATTCTACTGCAGCCCCTGCAAGCAACTCAACTTCCTAACCTAGCATTCTAGAGTGTCACACTGAACCACCCCAAACTCAGAGTATAGGCTCAGCTAGAAAAATGCCTGTTTCAAAAAAGCAAGAGGACAAGGGAAATTTTCAGAAATGTCTATCTACCACTGTTGGGCTCCTCGATTCATCTCTTCCCAACTCCTCAAGAGGTGGTCCCCTTTGGAAGTTCCACCGAACACTTAGACACCTCCAGTGCCCAGCCTTGGGCCGATTACATTCAACTTGGCATTTGATGATGAAACTTCCTCAAATTGCTCCTTGGTTGTTTTCATGTGCTTGTCATGTTGATCAACAAGACCGTGTGCACCCTATAGCAGGTTCATGGCTCTTTTGCAACCTTTTTTTTTTTTTCTTAATTATTTTGTAAGTTTATTAGTTTATTTTGAGAGCATGAGCAGGGGAGGGGCAGAGAGAGAGGGAAGGAGAGAATCCTAAGCAGACTCCATGCTGTCAGCGCAGAACCCAATGTGGAACTTGATCCCCCAACCTGTGAGATCAGGACCTGAGTTGAAATCAACAGTCAGATGCTTAACTGACTGAGACACTCAGGCGTCCCTCTTTTACATCCGCTTGTCCCTGTCTCTCCCATGTCCTCCCCTAGAATGTAGTGTATTCCCAAGCATACTGCAAGCCAACAGTCAGGCATATAATAATAGAACTGAATCCTTTATCCTCAGCACTGAGAAGTAATGAAAGTGGTAGAAAACAGCATTCAGAGTATCAACAACAAGGCAATGATTTTCAAAACATATGAGAATTTTACAAAAATGTATTTAAACATGGAGCCACATTTTTGAAACATGAATCACTGTAAGTGAGGAAAGGGGTTTAGAAATAGTAATAGCTCTATAATTTATATGCATGTGCCATGGTCTACACACTGTAGTAAGCACATTGAGAAACTTCTGTGATTTGTGAATATATTCTTGCAAAAACTCATATGGTGGGGATGTTAGTGAGATGTGAAAGTCACTCCTTCATATCATCCTCAAAACCATTCCTATAACCTTTGACTTTTATCTCATCCATAAGTTTCCTGTATCTTCTTCTTTGTAACTTCCTGCATTTATGGTCTTACTTAAGAGGCTTCCCCACCCTAGATAATATTCTATTTTTCTTCTAATACCTTCACAGATTTCATTTTTATGTTTAGCTTTTTATCCCATCTGGAATTTAGTCATCTATTTTAAGGCAGGACTTAACCTCACAGTCTCCCATAAAAAGTTTTAGCTAATTATTGCAATAAAATTCGCTAGGCAGACCATAATTTTTCTTCCATTTTTAAAGTCTCTCCTTTTCATACACCAAATTTCCTGATATTTATGGGCCTATTTGGGATTCCTTCCTTTGTTCACCTGGTCTGTTTGGTAATTCCTGTGCCACACTATTTGAATTACTATAGTTTTAAAGTATAGTTTGCTTTCTGGTGAGGCAGCCCACATCCTTCCTCATTGTTCTTATTTTTCCAAAAATTTCTTAGCTATCACTCACTTTTCCCTCTTCCAGATGAGTTCCAGTTCATCTGTTCAAGTGCCAAAATAATTCTTTTCAAATTTTGATGGAAATTGCATTTAGTTACAGATAGGAAAGGAAGACAGCAGGATCTAGTATCCTTAAAGGACTGTCTGTAGAGCTGTAGGTACAAGAACTGTGATTATAGATACATAATGTGAACAATTGTTTAGTTAAGGATGCAAAAGGTTAGGATTGCCCCCATTAAAAAGCAAACAAATTCACCATACCCAGCCTTAGCTTAGAATCTTTAGAATAAATCTCCATGCTGTAATCAGCATCCCACAAGTTTTCAACTGAGGTTATGAAATCCAAGAAGGTTTTCTTTAAAAGTTATTTTTTACCAAATTATAAATCAAAGGTATATAGAGGTTACAAATTCAGACGTTCCCATCACATAATTATTTCAAATCACCCTCTCCCTTCTCCATTCTAACCTGAATTTTAGAGTGCAGTTTTTATGATATACTATATCTCCTGGCAGAGATATCTCAAAATTATTACCATAGACATTTAGTGGAACAAGTCCAATTTTAAACTAAAAACACTACTTTAAAAGATATATTTTAATTCTGGCATCCCTATTTATATAATAATTAAAATTCAATTAAAAAGTCGTAACATTAAAACACTGATGGATTTCCTTTAGAGAAGGTGGAGCATATTTTTCCTTAAAAAGAAAAACAAACAAACAAAAACAAAAAAATAAGAAGGGTTTAAACTTGTTTCAAAGAGTAATAAGAGCTAGAAATAAGATCTGTATTTAAAATAGACAAAAATCTTGTGCTGATGCTTGCGGGCAAAGAAAAAGAAAACATACTCTGTCTAGCCTACTTTTCATATTTTTTTTCTATGCTTCAGGAGATACTATAAAGATAACAATCCAGCATGACTGAAGGGCAGAGATCACATGCAAGAGCAACGATTTCTCTGTCCGATAGGCTGCATTTGACTTAGAAGGGGCACAAAACCTCTCTTTCATGAGATATTACACAGATCTTGTTCTGACTTAACACATTCAAGGAGTGAATAGATGCATCATAGATTGACACATCTGTACAAGGGAATGCTACTCAGCAATGAAAAGGAAGAGCTATTGATACATTTAACAGCATGGATGAACTTCAAATGCATTATTATCCTAAGTGAAAGACTTAAATGGCTACTTAAGTAGCTTAATTAAGACTTAATGTAGGATTCCATTTATATAACATCCTGGAAAAGGCAAAACAACAGGGACAGCAAACATATCAGCGGTTGCCAGAAGCTATGGGGGGAGGGGAGGGTTTGACCACAGGGGGACACTTTTCAGGGTGACGGAATGGTTCTCCTCTTGACTGAGGTGGTAATTTACATGACTCATGTTGGTCATAATTTATAGAATGGTACAACTGGAAAGGTCTTCCTCCAGTTTCTTTCTTATGTTTTAGCATAATGTCTCAATTTTGTACTTTAAGTACATTCCATCCAATCCTTTAGGAACTAGGTAAAATTCATCATGCTAAAGAGTGTAAGCAAATTCTATCTCAATAAACTTAATAAAGAAGAATACTCTTGCAAGCCAAACTGTCTTCTGATACCATCTTCCGTCCATCAATAGCTATTAGCAACTTATTTACTTCTGTAGGGGAAGGATCCACCTAATGGACGATGTAAGATACTGGATCTTGCTGATTTGTGCTCTTCGTTTGCAGCATCTGAAACTCACCTTCTCAGTCCTTCCACAGAGCAATGTGGAAGTTCTCTCAAGTGAATCAGGTTGACTGTATTAAATGCTGGTGCCAGGATGGTGGTCTCAGGCTCCTGGGTTAGAATCTGATCCCACAGGATACTTTAAATGAGTACCACATAGCTTCAATCCAAATCTATGGGTTTTCATCGACAGTCAACTTAGTCTTATAACAGACCAACTAAAGGCATTTCAATATTTGCATTTTCAATATTGGCATTAAGAGAAGTATACTGTCTGCATCAAAAGGTGATAATCCTTTTCTAGATAAGACTGCACATAGAGAGTTTGATTCAGTTTAGGCATTAACATTTAAAAATGACAATCCTGTCTTATGATGAGCAGCTGAAGGGACTAAGGATACTTATCCTGCAGAGGATAACGTGGGGGCGGGGGTGTATGAGGGATAGAATGGTTTTATATACAAATATCTGAATGGCTATATGAAAAAAGGGATAAACCACTTCAAGGTGACACGGGTTATAGGATTAGGACCCATAAGAAAAAGATAAAGGATGAAAGATATTTGGCTTTATAATCCCATGATGGAGTGGCTGCCTTCGGAGGCAGGGATGCTGCAGGTAGGGTTTTGGATTTGGTGGTGGGCTGGGTGGGAGGACTTCCATAAAGAGAGAGGACCAGCAGTAAGCCAATCACACTGAGCTTGGTGGTTTACCAGGTATGCCACGCCCAAGAAAAAATGGGGCATCTGGGAAAGGCAGTGAAGGAGGAGAGGAAAGAAAGGGAAAGGAAAGAATGTGGACACATGGAAAGATGACGAAGGAGGAGACAAACTCTCTAGTTCGTTTTTCCTGCATTGGTCAGGGAGCTATCTGCCTGACATTTGATCAGCTTTTGGATTTGGAGACGCTTCCATTACATGAGGGGTGGCGGGGATGGGACATTAATTATCTGTCCCCATACCCAGGAACCAGTCCACAGGCACATGACTTACATTTGGCCCCCAGGAGGCTCTTGCTTGGCACTCTGGATCATAAGGACGTGATAGGACACAGGGACAGATAAAGGCTAGTCACGGGAGTCCAGTAACCATGGTGGTGGCAGTGGTGGTGTCCTAAGCAGACTGTTCCTGTGCCATGACCTTGGGTGTGTTCTTGGCCACTTGGTTCTTGCCCATTCTCTTGAGCCCAGACCTCAACACTTCTGTTGGCTTCTGTAAGCTACCCAACATTCTGTCACTAAATTTCTTTTCTACCTAAATGAGCCAGAATTGGTTTCTATTACTTGTAACTTCAAAACTCTGATAGGATCACATAAATCGGGGAAGGGGGTACTTAAGAGGTATTTTACATTATCCTTATATCATATATGAGGATGAAATTCTTTAAAAGCTACATGGCCCCTAATATTGGTTGCACTGGAGAGCTTAAAAATAATTAGGATCTCTACCTTTACCTCTACCCCTAGTTATTTCCAAGGTTCTGAAATACTAAATCAGGGCTGGGGGGTGGTAGAGCAGAGGCCCACACATGCCCCCCCCCCCCCCCCCCGCTAAAGTTTTGTAGGTAATTCGAATGCAGATTCTCAGAAGTCTGGCATTTGGGTTTCTAAGCAAATGAGAGTGATATGAACCATTAAATAATTTGTCTGGTTGTCTAAAGTATTTTCAATCTCCTCTGTCTCAGGCCAAATCTGATCAACCTACAGGTGTCTACGGCGTGAATCTCACCTCCCAGTCTTATTAGCACATAACTTCTCCCCAAACCCACAAAACCCTGTGCCCCCCCTCCGCCAAACTTTACTCTTTCACTCCTGGGAAGGCACTTCCATTCTCTCTGCCTGTACAGATCCTACTTATGCATCAAGGTCAATTTAAGAATGGCTTCTCTCAGGGCACCTGGGTGGCTCAGTTGGTTGAGCATCTGACTCTTGATTTCGGCTCAGGTCATGGTTCGTGGGTTTGAGCCCTGCATGGGGCTCTGTGCTGCCCGTGCAGAGCCTGCCTGGGATTCTCATTCTCATTCTCATTCTCATTCTCATTCTCATTCTCATTCT